TGCAGTTTACAAAATTATATTTGATTTATATATGTTAATTTAGACGTTATGCACATTTTTATAGTTTTTATACGTTTTATTACAGTTATTTGAATTGACAATTAATTCGCTGCATTATTTTGCTCATTGCACCCTCCTGTGGCCTCGAGAAACAAGTCAAAAGTTTCCTTAAAGGGGTCATATGATGCTGCTAAAAAAAGGTTATAAAAAATGTCAATGATTATCGATACCGAACGATATGAAACATATATCTTTGATATATTTTTTAGCTATATCGCCCAGCCCTAGACGGCGCTTTATAGTACAAATGGACAATAACCCAAAACATACAGCAAAAGCAACCCAAGAGTTTTTGAAGGTAAAAAAGGGGAATATTCTGCAATGGCCAAGTCAATCTCCTGATCTCAACCTGATTGAGCAAGCATTTCACTTGCTGAAGTCAAAACTAAAGGCAGAAAGACCCACAAACAAACAACAACTGAAGTCAGCTGCAGTAAAGGCCTGGCAAAGCATCACAAAGGAGGAAACCCAGTCTCTGGTGATGTCCATGAGTTCCAGACTTAAGGCAGTCATTGCCTGCAAAGGATTCTCAAAAAATATTAAAAATGAACATTTTATTTATTATTATTTTTATTTGTCCAATTACATTTGAGCCCCTGAAAATGGGGGACTGTGTGTAAAAATGGTTGTAATTCCTAAATATTTTATGTTATATTTTTGCTCAACCCCTTGAATTAAAGCTTAAAGTCTGCAATTTCATCTTGATTGTTTCATTTTAGTTCTATTCTGGTGGCATACAGAGCCGAAATTATGAAAATTGTGTCGGTGTCCAAATATATATGGACCTGACTGTATGTGTGCTACACACTTTACATAAATATTTTTGTTGCATGTTGGTCTCTTATTGTGTTAATTACCTGTCAGTATTTTTCTAGAGAGATATATATCCGCTAGATATCTAAGCAGTTTTTTTTTTTGCCAGATTAAGTTACAATGTGTGCCTGACTTTATGCTGAAGCACAAAAGATGATATTTCGAAGAATATTGGTAACCCAAATATTGGAGGTAGCCATTGACTTCCATAGTATGGAGAAAAAAAAAATACTATGGAAGTCAATGGCTACCGTCAACTGTTTCGTTACCAACATTCTTCAAAATATAATCTTTTGTGTTCAACAGAAAAAAAGAAACTCATACAGGTTTGGAACAAGTGGAGGATGAGTAAATAATTAGTCATTTTCATTTTGGGGACTATCCCTTAACTCCCTTAAAATAATGTGCTTCTCCCTGCTTAGATATTGAGTCACAGGAACAATGGATCCGTAGTAATGCATGCAACCGCCACAGATGAGGTGGGCCTGCTGACTAGTAAAGGTGTGTGTAGATGTGTTTGTGAGTGTTAGGGAGGGTCTCCAGGGCGTTGATGACAGATTAAACAGAAGCGCCCCTAGCTCCCCTCCTGTCGTCCTCACCCCTCAGCACCCTAATAGAGGCTGGCAGGCAGAAATGAGTTGCCATGGCAGAGTGTATTGTTTTTTAAATGCTTTCACACAGGCCGTCCGCAGACGCCGGGTCGTACCACTCACTCCCTCATGCTTTAATGTCATCTGCCGGCCTTGAAATTGCTGTGTCTAATTGTTTGCCACCTGTCACCAAATGAGCTGCCAGACATGGACAGGCTTCTTGGATTGTCTGTCAGAAGCTCAATAGATTGGGAGTGACAACATAAAAAAAAAGCCTCAAACACAGGAGAGATCAGGACGACTCGCCCATCACAGTCTTTCTGGGACTTTCCAAAGGTGAATTTTTTTCAATTAGTATTGAATAACCAGGAAGCTGTGTTTGCAGATGGGGCCGCCACCATGAAGAACTTGCTTTAGTCAATTTAAACCAAAGAGAAGCACTTTAATACATTAACATCAGTCCGTATCAGTGCCAATGGATGGTATGCTAGTAAACCGAGTGATACAACAAAAGTTTGCCATTATATGAGACCAACACATTATTTATTGTTATTATTGATGTTCATTTATGTGGTAAGACTGTTTGTAATCCTAATAGCCATTTCAAATAAAACATAAACAATTTGCCTTATTCATAGTCTACCCAAGATTAATCCGTGCTTTATTCAAATGAAGTCAATTTAAAAAATCCTATTAATAAAATATGCACGGGATAATTCATACATCATTCACAAGCTCCTGACCAATGAATAATTCATGAGGAGTGTTCATATTTTATTAGAAGCTTGTTTATCAGTCTAATACTATCAACTCTACTTGTCAAATATATAAAGAAGCTGACATGTTATGAGTAATAAATACTGTAGAAAAGCATTGCGTTGCAAATCTTTTTGCTCGAAACTGTTCAAACTGAGGTTCAGGATTAATATTTGACTCATAGTTTGGTGTTGACTCTACAGTAACATTGGAATGTCCATGTTACACACATTACTGATATGTTTATTTAATATGAATTCAATTACAAATAATTTTTAGTAGTAATTATTCATATGAAGTGCTTTTGAATGTTGTTTCCACAAAACAATTAAATACAACAGGGACTGTTTACTATTTATTTATTGATGTAGTTCCACACTATTTTGTCTGCTGGGGTTCACAAATGGAGTTATTTGTACAGCATGTCCTGGCTGCTATTTTCCATAAATAAACATATATTTTACTGAGCATCAAGCTTCACAAAAAAAAAAAAAAAATCCCATAAAAGCAGTCCATACAACTTGTTAGCTGTATGTTCGGTTATACTACTCTGTTCTTCAGTGTAAAGTGCACTAAATATGATTTTGAATGTAATTTCTGTGTGTACATGTGAGGCCAAGGAGTTTTAATTTGTATTCCAAAACCACTACTTTTACACTGACAAAACCAAAAGTTTGGGGGTCAGTAAGGTTATTTATTTATTATTTGTTTGTTTATTATGATTTTTTTATTTATGTTTTATTTATTTATGTTTTATTTATTTATTTATGTTTTATTTTTTTTTATTTTTTTTAAATAATAGAATAATAGACAAAATAAATAATAGACAAAAGTGCAGTAAAAACGTTTATAATGTTACAGCAGATTTAAATTTCAAATTAATGCTGTTGTTTTAAACTTTCTAATTATCATTGAATCCTGATTAAAATGTCTCAAACATTTTCCACAAAAACATTAAGCACGTTTTCAACTTTGATAATAATAAATGTTTCTTAAATGCCAAATCAGCATATTAGAATGATTTCTGAAGGATCATGTGACACTGAAAACTGAAGTAATGGCTGTTTTGCTGTCACAGGAATAAAAATACATTAAAATAGAGTTTTTTTTTCATTATTTGTAATAATATTTTACAATATATTACCGTTTTTCTTTCTTTCTCTCTCTTTTTCTTTTAAAAATTCTTACAGACCTCAGATTTTTAAACTGTAACTTATGTATTTGCATATACTAGAATAACTCCTCATAGCTCATAAAGACAATGGCACACATGCATGATTTTAAGGGTCTGTTATTCTCTGTTTGTAGTGCTCTAGGGGAAGCACGTGTCACAGAATGTTTTTGCTTCCTGTCACGCCAGCGTGTTAAAGAGAGCGTGCCGTGGGGACGAGTGGCAGTCTCCCAGACAAGTGCTCTAATGGCTCCATCCTCTCTCTGAACAGTGTCCGAGGTCACATTGTGCAGCATCAGGAGGCTTAGCAGGTGACATTAGAACCAGCCCTGCGCTACATCACCCAAAACATGCAGATCTCTGTATCGGCCAGCATCTCGAACCACGTCAAGTCGTGATAAAGAAACCAGACCGATATAAACCCCAACAAAATATCATTCCATCCTCCAAAGCACTTGACTCTGTCTTGTGTATAATATCAAACTAATCCTCTCCTGCTCTTTGTTATCAGGCTAAGGTGGTTTTCCGTGAATATCTGCGAAGCTCCAGAATGTCTGTGAAGACATGCAGGAGATTATCGGCAAGGTCAAGAGTTGAATGCAAACTCGTGATCCTGCTCGTCTCCAGCGCTATTTTCAGCTCGTTAGACTGTTGCCTCTGGAAACCATGTGATTTCTTTCTACATCTATAAATAACCTGGAAAATAAAAGCTAAGTATAATTTCTTGAAGGCATAATTAAGTTGATTAGTATATTTAGGCCCTTTTTTAATGGTTTAATTTGTTTAGCTATATTTACAGACCGTTTCTTTAATTAGCTTTCCAGAGATGGTCGAAGAAGGATGACAAGATGATTGCTGGTATTGCGTTTGTGGCCTGTTTTTTCCTGCAACAGGAGGCTTATTCCTGTTATTCAGTACTATTTTGAAGTACTTCCTGTACATTTATTTTAAAAATGAATATACTTATATGTTTAAGTATTTTTATAAATGATGTTCTACACTTTCAGACATATGATCTTGTCTTGTTCAAGCACTTAAATTCATTTGACCATGATTATAAAGGTTAAAAAACAGAACAAGATGGAAATAAACACCCACTTAGATGAGGGTGTTGCCTTGTGATGTTTTGTTTTCTGATATTTTTGTTTATTGATATTTTCATTTTTCATCCATCTTTTTGTTTTTATCCTACCCTTTTATCCTTTATTTAATTCTTGTTTTTTTCCCCCTTTTTAAACTTTATCTAATGGAATAGAATGTTTTGTAGTGATGCAAACCATTTAATACCACAAAACTTTACAGAATTTATTAGATTCATTGCCATTTTTTCCCACAGAATTGTCACTTGCCTCGCAAGTTTATGTGAATATAAATAAATAAACAAATGAATAAAGTGGGAAAAAAACTGTTAGATAGATAGATAGATAGATAGATTGACTGATTGATTGATTTACTGAGATTATTTAAAATGGGCATTTGTTAATTCATGTTTGATTTTATGATTGACAGAAGTTAACTACTATGATATAACAAGATTTATTTCATTATTTAATCAAATGTATTATTAATATCTCCTAATTATGCATTTTATTTACGACAGTACTAAAACCATTTAAAATTGGCTTCTGTTCATTTGTTACACAGTGATTAAAGCTAAGTAATATTTATGTAAAACAATAAATGATATATAAAAAATGTTTATTTAATATTTTTATAATTTAATATTTAATATTAATATGTAATCCAATATAGTGTGATATAATGGGGCAGTGAAAATGTACTGCATAGTATGAATAACACATAAGGTTTTCTAAGGTGAGAACCTCAAAATTGCACTGCTATATCAACACCAAATTTCTGCAGCGCACCTGGAAAGTATCTCCTGATGAATTTCGCTCCAAGTTTGACATTACGTCGAGTCACAGCAGTGGACAAACAGCAGAAAAGAGAAACACACCCAAAACCCAGCAGTCACTGCTTTTGATTTTACTGTTTGTTTGTCCTGAGCTCTCATTCTGTACAGTCACAAGGCAAGAGAGCAGGATGTTTACTTTGCCTGCTGGTCTTTCCCTTGCCACTGCGACCGTTCAATCCATCCACTTTCATCCAGCCTGACTGGACCGTGGAACAGAGCCGTCAGTCTCCCTGCAGCTTAATCAACTGATTTCACAAGCAATCATGTGTATTTATTGTTTTATTTTGCTTTGTTAGATTTGTTTATTTTTGCTTATGCTGAATCTGGAAGCTTTTGTGGTTCACTTGCCGTCCCTTCCGGGAAGTGCTTGGTAAAATCCTAGCTGTTTGGTCTTATGTTTACACATCCGCCTTGCCAGGTTACAAGAACAGTTTGCCAGCTGCATCAAATCCAAGGTACATTTAGTAAAAGATTGTGAACTCTCTCTCGCAGGAGTGTGGTGGTACAGGCCAAGAAGCCTCTCTCGGGCCTGACAGTGAACACGGTGGGCAGTTCTGGCTCCAGCAGCACCCTGACCTCTGCTAGCACCCCAAACATCTTCGCTGCTGCTGCTTCGTCTGCTACGCCCAAGAGTATGATCAACACTACAGGTAAGCATTACTCCGACTTATCATGTCTCGATACAACCTTACCTAACCTCTTCTGGAATGTTGTTAATTATGGGAACTTTATAAGGACAGACTTTCTCCCTAAAAGTAGATATAATGGTCACAACCGCTCTCTGTGTCGTTAATTTGAATGTGCTAGTGCTTAAGTGAATTTCCACTGAAATGCACGCTCTGCTCTGCTATTCCTAGAATAATTAAAGATGTCATTGCTAAAATTGCTCAAACTCAGGAAATTAGATTTGGTGGCATCGAGCGGTTTGTCCACTAGAGGGCCCCCCTCACTATATATCGCTTTCTCACACTAGATGTGAAAATAGGATCTGTGTGAAATTTCAAGGTTGTTATGCAGCCACATGGAGACTATAAGGAAGTTACATTTCAAGCGTCCCCCTCAGGGTGCACACTATGAACACTATAGATTTTGCTCTTGAGACTGGAGCTGTTATATAGGCCTATACCTTATCGTGTGTGTAAGTGTGGTATGTGTTTATTGCTCTAGGCAGGACATTCAGGCCTGGAAACATAATATTTGATTCTGTGGGATTCATTGAAAATATCTGGAATAGAAATTCTCCCCATTTGTTTATTTCATTGTTTTCAGTGTATTGGGAATTGAAAGCCAATTTTTGGTACCTCAGCTTCGAAGGACCAGTTTAAGCAAACTGCTTATAGTACTTTTTGTGATATTATATTTATGGTTCAATAAGGACACCCGAGGTAAAATAGGACTTTTACTTCCCTATGTTTGTCGCTATGTACTACAAAATTCATTGCAAAGGTCATTGCATGCAACGACAAAAACCCTGATGTAATCTAAACCTGCAAAATGTATATTTAAATATTACAGATTTATATTTTAAAAAATGTTTAAATATTTTTTACACACACAGAAATCATAATATACCTTTATATAATACCTTCCATTCATTTAATAAAAAAACTGTAAAATTGTGAAATATTATTACAATTTAAAATAATGTTTTTCTATTTTGATATATTTAAAAATGTTATTTATTTCTGTGATAAAAAGCTGAATTTTCAGCAGCCATTACTCCAAGCTTCAGTGTCACATGATCCTTCAGAAATCATTTTAATATGTTGATTTGGTGCTCAAAAACCTTATTGTTATTCATATTAATATTTATTTTATAATTATTAGTGTTTACTATTATTATCAATGTTGAAAGCCGCTGTTGTTTAATATTTTTGTGGAAACCGTGATACATTTTTTTCTAGATTCTTTGATGAATAGGAAGTTCAAAAGAATAGCATTTATTTGAAATAGGAATCTTATGTAACATTATAAACGCCTTTATTTTCACTTTTGACCAGTTTAATGTGTCCTTGCCTAATAAAAGACAAAAAAAAAACATACTGACCCCACAATACAGTATATTTTGCGAACAGAATAATGTATTACATTTTCCTTAAGAGAGGCTTTTAGTTCCCTTTGTCCATCATAGACCTCATTGAGATCTGCTTAGAATGCACAAGGGACGTTGATTTGGATTGAGGTTGAATCAGGCCAAGCTGCGCTTCCAGCGAAATCCATCAGAATGTCCCTCTTGACGTTTCTCCCCATCTTGGTGTATTTGCTTATGGGTGTACACTCATCTCTGACACTGCGATTGATGGCTGCGTAATAGATTTCCCATCCTCAGATGTCCTGTGACAGCTTGTGGTTTCATCGGATGACAGTCCATTGCTGTGATGTATCTATCAGAAGCTCCCTGCTGCACAGGGCACTGTGGACACTGTGGCATTGACAGAGAGAGAAATAAGAGGAATGTAAGATGGTGCTTCACTTTCTCAGGGGGAGGCCAGAGTAATGGGGATGTTTCTCAGAGTCTGTGCCTCTGTAGTTATGTTGTTACATGATGAAAAACCAGAAAGAGTATTTGATTTTAGTGCAACTGAAGGTTTAGTTGACAGTTGGTGGGGATGTAAAGTGAAAAACTGCACCGTGAGTTGTTTTCAATGACTAAGAAGGTGTGAGAGAAATGTTTATTTATTTAGAAATATTTATTAAAAAAAATTGAATTTATTTATATTTTCCTCTAAAGTCAGCTTTTAAACCGAAAACTTCATTTAGTCTTAATTTAGTCGATTTTTCTAACCTGTGATTTCTTGTTGTGTCACAGGAGCCACAGATGCATCCACTTCCTCTTCCTCCAGCTTTGTGAATGGAGCCACCAGCAAGAATCTGCCTGCGGTTCAGACTGTGGCCCCCATGCCTGAGGACACCATGGAGAACATGAGGTGATTCAGAGTCCCAGAATGTGTGTTGAGGTCTAAGACAGACAGCTGGGTAGACATTCAGCTTGATGTTTATTTTGAAATGGGATGGTTGGATGAGCTGTGTTTGAAGATGTTGCGAAATATCACACCTTATGTAACTTTATGTGTTATTTTATGAAAATAAGGCTGTGAGGATGGGCTATTCTGTTTTAAGCTTAGGGATGCACAATATTATTTATTTTTACTATTTGTTTATTTTTATTTTTTAGAAACTGATTATACATTGACCAATAATGAATATTTAATTGTGCATTATAATTTCCCCTATTTTTGATGTTTATTTATTTGTTTGTTATATTTGTTATGTATTTTTGATCGAATAAATGCAGCCTGGGTGAGCATAAGAAACTTAAAAAACAATAAGTGTGTGTGTATATGTATCAAAAATACATCACATAATATATACTGTATATATATATATATATATATTATGTGATGTATTTTTGATTAAGAGACTTAATAATTGCTGTTGTATCCCTGTCAATTAACCAAATTGTCATGATTTTCAAATCTTAACCTGGTAACACTTTACAATAAGGTGGCATTTGTTAACTATATTTAATGCATTAACTAACATTAACAAACAATGAACAGTACATTTAGTACAGTATTTAGGCTATTAATCTTTGTTAACGTTAGTTAATAACAATAAAACTGTTTATTGTTAGTTCATGTTAGCTCAGGTCCATTAACTATATTAATAGCTACAACTTTTCATTTTAATAATGTATTAGTAAATGTTGGAATCAGCATTAACTAAGATTAATAAATGCATTAGAATGCTTTAGTTAACTAATGTAGTTAACTAATGTTAACAGATTGAACTTTATTGTAAAGTGTTACCATCTAAGGGCCGGATTTACTATATAGGGCAAATGATTTACTTAGGTGCTTTACTTTATTTATTTAGGTGCACATTAAAGAACACAGACGCAACTTCTCATTTCCATAATGACCAGCGCAAATTACCGCCTGCTTTAAGACATGCTTCTTTTGGGTGTTAAATAATGCCACAAATACCAGTGAAGTGACGAGCGCAAATCTTAGTAAATCACATTGCGTGATTCATTTAAATACTCTCCTCCCATAAATTTACTGATCGAAACGGAAACACCTACAAATGTATATTCAATAAGGTGAGTCACAAAAATAACTGTCTGCACCTTTTCAGCACTAATTTCCCACTGTGTGTTTTTAGCAAATCCTGACAGTAGTTTTTTAACGCCAAATGTCAAATTTTGTTTGCACTGGAAAGATGATTTTTCGTGTTTTGCTGGCTGAATAATTGACACAAAGGTACATAATAGTGCAACTCATTAGCACTTATATGTCAGTTCCTCACAGCTTCATTTGCATAAAATTAAACATAACATCTACCGTCACTGAAGTCCGTATTTCCTGGCAGATTAATTGTTAAATTATTAATAATGCATTTAATTTTTTATTGAACGTTAGTGTCTTATAATACTGTAGCCACCATTTAAAAATAGCAATAATATGAAATTATTATAGTGATTATTCCTTTAGAATAATTACACATTTTTAAATGGTTTTGAAAAGTCTCTAATGCTCACTAAGGCTGCATGTATTTGATGAAATATGATTGTTTTCTATTTTTAATATTTTAAAATGTAATTTATTCCTATGATGGCATAGCTGAATTTTCAGCAGCCGTTACTCCAGTCTTCAGTGTCACATGGTCCTTCAGAAATCAGTGTATATTATTTCTCACAATACCCTTTTAATATGATAAAACACACCCTTAAATGGCGTATTGCTTTATTTGAGCTTGTCAGTGAGTGGGAAGTATTTCCTCTGTCTGCACCTCATCAGAGCGTTTGTGTTTGTTCACCCAGCCATGAGTTTTTATTATCACTGCCACAAGAGGGGGTCAGAACTCAGCCTTGTTTTTTCATGTTTACAGACATTGTGTCTGTCCTTTGTTTAGGGCAATGGGCGACAATCATTTTACTTTTTTATATTGTTGTGGTTGCGACAACCAAGACACCCCACACCTTACATATCGCCTGTCCACTCTCTCACTGGCCACCGCGGGTGTTTGAGCTGTCAGACGGGGCTGTGCGAGCGCTAATGCAGAGAAATCAGTGTGCGTAGGTGTTTTGGGGAGTGTGTGGAAACCGTGCTGACCTTGGCTCCATCCTTTCACCTCGTCTAATGCTTTGTGACAGACATCTCACAGACACGCCACCGTCTGACTACACAGGAGAAAGCGAGTGTGTGCGCGTGCGGCTCTCTCTCTCGTGCTCTCCGGGGGCCTCTACACCTCACACACACACATATACACACTCTTTGTGGCTCCTCTGCTACGCCAGGAATCGCAAATCAGTTGCCATGGCAGCAGTAACCGACAGCACTTACTGGGATTGTGAAGTCAATGATGAAACTGTCTGGATACAGAGGCTGTGATGCCTAACCCGCACTCCGAGAGACAAGAGATGGGTTTCGCTGTCACTGCCTGCATGTGTCTCATTAGTTTTTCTTGATTTTGTTTTCCCACTTATTTTCCACACTTACTTTCATGACACACAATAGCCGTTAGTGTTGAATTTTTCACAATAAGCACACCAAAAAGGAAACGCAGTATTTTCAAAGCTTAAGATCTAATTTCCATCAGATTTGCAACCAAGACAAGCAAACCCGAGGAAATTTGCATGCTTATACAACAAAATCCCTAGGAGTTTTGCCCAGTATCTCAGTTTTAAGCTATTATTGTGGTAACCAAGCCCAAAAACACTGGCTTTGCTCGATATTTTTTAATGCTAATATAGTAAATATGGGTTACACTTTATTTTACAGTACATGTACTTACAGTGTACTTATCAAAAGGTACTGGTAGTACACTGGTTAAGGTTAGGTTTAGGGGTTCAGCATCAGTACCTAGTTATTATACAGTTACTTTAAATGTTATAATACGTACAAAATATGTACATGTAGAACAGGACTGTAAAAAAAAGTTTACTCTTTATATTGTGTCCTTGGTACAGTGTAATAATACTATAATATAATAATTTAAGTACTGAGTAATATTAATTAACTATACTATATGGTTAGGGTTTGGCTTAGGGTTACTTGCATGTAATTATGCATAATTTACTGTTGTTATTATAATAGTAAGTACATGTAACGTGTAACAAGGACACCTTAAAATAAAGTGTTACCAAAAAGTGCTACCTAAATATGCTGGTACTGAAAGTACTGGTAGCTACTTGTATTTTATATGTGTAAAATTGAGTTTGAATCAATATATAACAAATAATGGACTGTTGAATACTAGTGTATGCAATACATACTGTTACAAACCTTTAGACACATTTGACTGATTTTATGCATCATACCTGAATAACCTTTTGATTTAAAACCATTTTGATTGAAAATATCTAAAAATAAAACAAAACAAAAAAAAAGCTAAGTGCTTAAATTCTTAAAATTAGTTTTGTAGACAAATATTAAATTGGGCCCTTATATATAGGGACAAATTTGTTTTTGAAAATACCTACATTTCTGCACAGATTACTCATAAAATGAGGTCTGATCTTTATTTAACTTTATTTAATAACTTAATACCGTTTTTTTTTATTGCAAATTCTAACAAAAAAGTATGAATACTAGTGTATGCAATACATACTGTTACAAACCTTTAGACACATTTGACTGATTTTATGCATCATACCTGAATAACCTTTTGATTTAAAACCATTTTGATTGAAAATATCTAAAAATAAAACAAAACAAAAAAAAAGCTAAGTGCTTAAATTCTTAAAATTAGTTTTGTAGACAAATATTAAATTGGGCCCTTATATATAGGGACAAATTTGTTTTTGAAAATACCTACATTTCTGCACAGATTACTCATAAAATGAGGTCTGATCTTTATTTAACTTTATTTAATAACTTAATACCGTATAAGTTTTGTACTTTTTCACAATTCCAACAAAAAAATGTATTCATTCTAACAAGTTAGCTTTCATTTGGCATTAGTGCCTCTTGAAAAATTACAGTAAAAATTAACAGTAAAGTTTGGTCTTTGTACCACAGCTTCTCTGTTTTGGTGCTTGTGTAAGGTTTCGCTCAATTTATTTCGCTTATTGTCAGGAACCCAGGCTGTACTGGAGCTGGCCAATGCCATAAGCAAGAACAGCTTCCAGTGTGTTTTCCAGAACCACTAACATGCTTGTTTTCTAGTGGGGTTGGACTCCTGTTGGGAACATGTAGTTCTCTTTCTTTTCTGCGAGCTGGCGTTGTACTTGTTTGTGTGTTTGTTGTCGGAGCCCAGGATGTTCAATCTGCAGCTGGTTATTAGGCATTGGTTTGGTGTATTAGTGTGCCATATTACTGGTTAAGTAACATTTCATGGTAACAGTTCATGGTTTTGAAATGAACCAAAATATTTTTTGCCAGCTTCTATAATGCATTTACTTTGTCTACACACAGTATCACCACTAAACTGGAGCGAGCTCTGGAGAAGGTGGCCCCATTACTGAGGGAGATCTTTGTGGACTTTGCACCTTTCCTCTCTCGCTCACTGCTGGGCAGTCATGGTCAGGAGTTGCTCATTGAAGGTACTGATGCAAAATTTCCCCCCTCTCTCTCCATCTGTTTCTCTTTTGCACATACTTGTGTATTACATGGGCATGCTGGTACAGGAGGGTGTAGGTTGTAACCATGCACAAGTTTGTTTTATAATGTTGTGTGCATACTGTTACAAACCTTTAGATACATTTAACTGATTTTATGTTTCTTACCTGAATAATGTACTTTTTAAATTGTGTGTATGTGTGTGGACATGTACTGTGTGTATATGTATGTATAGACACACACAATTTAAAGGTACATTAAATATTTATATTTGGTTGAAGAGACAAAGTAAAAAAAAAAGTCTGGTCATTTTTACACCTTAAAAGTCTGGTGTCAGTTAGATTGTTTTTAAAAAAGAAATTAATACTTTAATTCAGCAAGGATGCATTAAATTGATCTAAAGTGGCAGTAAAGACATTCATAATGTTACAAAAGATTTCCATTTCAAATACTGTTCTTGTGAACTTTCCATTCATCAAAGAACCCTGACAAAAATCCATCAAAGTTTTGACAAAAATATTAAACAGTATTCCTGTTTTCAACACGGATAATAGTGTTTTTTTCCCCCACCAAATCAGCATATTAAAATAATTTCTCAAGGATTATGTGACACTGAAGACTGGGGTAATGGAGAAAATTCAGCTTTGCATCACATGAATAAATTACAGTTTAAAATATATTAAAACAGAAAACTATTATTTTAAAATGTAATCACTTTTCACAATATTAATAAATGTTACCATATTTTTGATCAATTAAATGCAGCTTTGGTGAGCATAAGAGAACCAAAACCTTTGAAGATTATTTTTATATTTACTTATTATTTTATTTGGTTGTGTTTTCTCTTTTTTTCTCCTACATCTGAGCTACCTTTTGGAATATACTTCCCTTCTCTAGCTGGCTGTGATGGGCCACACACACATACTCGCACACGCTTTCTCTCTCGCATTTCGGCTCACATGGCAAGGCAACCTCTCTTTGAATGGAAACCCACACTCCAGGTTCTGTTTTGTGGCTTTTTTACCTTTCAGCCTCAGTGCCAAATCATAGTGCACGTCCCCCTCACCGCTCAAAGCCCGTTTGTTCCGTCTAATGAAGCTCCGCATTACGGCACGCTAGAAATATGTGTGTCTACAGCTCAGGCAGCCATTTCATGAAAGAAATACTCAGAAACACATTCTGCCCTGGATTCAAGCTCTGCTTTTTATGAATTATAACAGCCAGTTTTCTGTCTTTAACTTCGTAGTCGTACTTAATCCTGTCTCCATTAGGAAGCATCACAGTTTTGGTTGCCTGCTGAAAACAGGCGTAAGGTGACAATTTCATGACCTTACTCGTGAAATCTAGTCGATTGAGTCAGTGTTTTGCTCTCAGATGTTGTAGTTGAAGACTCTACCAGAAGGGGCAAACTAGACCTTGCTAAACCTGTCAAACCTTGACCCCATGGTTTTGTAAGATTTAATTTCCCTAAACAAATTCGGGGTGATACTGGGGCATCGCTATGAGGTTGCAAAAGTGTGCTGGGTGGTTTTTAGCCCATTGCTATGTGGTTTGAAGGGCGTTGTAGGTGGTTGCCAGAACCTAAATAAATGTAAAGAAATAGCTCACCCAAAAAATGAAAATTGTGTCATTATTTACTTACCCTCATGTTGTTCTAAACCTATTTGACTTTTTTTTCTGTGAAACATAGAACATATTATATATAGCATGTATTGTAAATATACATTTACATTTGTGCATTAGGAAATTATTTTATCCAAAGGATTAACCCATTGACTGGGATTTAAACTCATGATATGGTCTCAAAAAATGTATTGCTGCAATAGATTGTAAATATTAGTAATATACTGTACATAAATACATTTTTGTTACAATTTTGTTACTTATTTTAATTACTTCCTCATATTTTCTGGCCATTTTATAATATATGTTTAAAATCTAAATATAACATAACATAAATAAATAATAATGCCATTTCCCCAAAATATGTTTTAAGAGTAGAAAATATGTATTTCTTGCTCATTTAATTTCATTTTGTAATATATATAATACATATCTTTACATTCTATGTGTGTGTAACTTACCCAAAATGACTTTTTATTTACCCCAAATGTATTTTAAGAGTAGAAATACATTTTAATGCTCAATGAAATACATTTTGTAATATATTTGTATATATTTTTTTACATTTAAATAAAGCCAAGAATATATTTTTACCATATGGGATGCAATACAAGTCAATGGGATCCACTGATATTTGAAACCCAAGGTTCTTTAAAATATATTTTGTGTTCTGCAGGTTTGTTGCAGTGACATGAGGGTGAATTAATAATGACATAGTATTCTTTTTTTTGGGGTGAACTATCCCTTTAGGGCATCCTCTGACCAACCAATCCTCGTGCTATCTAACTTGAAATGCCATTGACTGTGCTTGTGCATTGCCATTGCCATTGCGATCCTCCCCAAATGAACCCCACTCCAGAACACATAACAGCGACTTCCTCATAGATTACTCTTTACCCCCGCATCCATTTGTCCAGTATGTTAACACCATCCCATGACCAGAAGAAATGATGTCTGTTTTCCCACCTCCTTCCCTTCCTCTCTTCCTCAACCTCTCACAGCTGAAATACTGTTCGCTCTGTGCAAAGGCGCCCTATTTACCCATAATTACCCTTCATCCATCACTCGGCCCGGCACTAGGGGTCAAGCTCCTGCCCGGCCTCCCTCCAGACACTCGTTCACTGGGGGCAATTATGCCCCGCTCGACCTCGGACAGCCTCTCGACACTTGGAGTTTGAGTGCGAGGCCCCTGGGCGGAACACTGCACTTCTTGTGAGAGCTGAGCGCCCAACTCTGCGACGCTTCGGCCCTCTGACAATGTCACATTCACACCAGTGAGGCTTAACTGGAAAGTGCGGTGACTTGCTGTTTAAATAGAATGCATTTAGTTTGTCCAGCAGCATGATCCAGAGGTCAGGCCTGCCACCTGACTGAAGAGAGGGACCCCGGTGGGGAATCGCTGTGTTTACGGCCTCATCTTCGCCCTCATAAATGAGACAGAGAGATTGTTGGGACTTGAACTCTTGGCCTCTGAAATATTACGGTCATAACTTCACGGACTGAATGGTTTAGGAGCGATCATTCATGGTGAAAGGATGTTTAAGTGGGCAACGAGACAAGTGGTGCCCTCAGTGAGCTGAATGTAAAGCTCAATTTATAGGACCGTTTTACCACAGATTGTATGTATACAGATTTAATTATTGGGATTTACTAGTACTATTTAGATTTTTGAAGAAAATGAGTACTTGCAAAATTATCTGCCACAATTCTGGGGTGGTTGCCAGGACATACACTGTAAAAAAAATTCTGTAAAATTTACGTTAAAAAAACCGGCAGCTGTGGTTGCCGGAATTTTACCGTAAAAAATACGGTAGCAACGTTTTAGGTTTTACTGTTTTAACTTAAATTTATAACTCAAATTTATAACTCAAATAACTGATATAATGTTAATATACCAACCTATTGAAGCACTGAAATCTGTTTTGTACCTTTGTAATACACTGATAACCACCAAATGCAGGTGGTGATGAGAAAGTCACATGATGAACCAAAGCCCATCACAAGTAGCTTTTATATAATAACATATATAGAAGGTGCACAGTGTCATTCACACAAACACCAAACACCATCATGGTAACACACATGAAAATAATGCAATAAACATTCATTTAACAACATTAAATGTAACACATAACCCTAATATACAAAACTGATAAGAAAAAACTAAGAAGAAACATAGTTATTTCAACAAAAAAACATCAAATTTGAAATGTAACGCAGGGAATTCTGGGAATGTCAATTTACGGTTATTCAATGAAAATTATACGGTCTTTTTCACTTCCAAAAACGATATACTACCGTAAAATTAATGTCCAATACATGTAATGTCCAATACAGTTTTTCACCATATAGTAGGGGAATTTACCGTTAACCATTTAACAGGTTTTTACTGTAGCATTTTTACAGTCTTTTACCGTTAAATTCACGGTAATTTTTTACAGTGCTCTACTGGCTTCATTTGCATGTCTCATAAGCGTGTCTTCTTCTATTGGATTGCATCTGGGAGGGCTGAATTACAGTCTTGTGCTACAGCGCTACACTGGTCAAAAAACATTATTGCAGGCCCTTACATGAGATCAAACGACTATTTGACAACAAAAATATTTGTTGACAATTTTTCATTGTCGATGGTGTCGAAAATGTTGACTAATCGTTTCAGCCTTCCCTTCACTTCCAAAATACAAATGTCCTGATCATTTACACACCCCCATTGTCATTTAAGATGTTCAAGTCTTTCTGTATATACTTGTACATGTATATACTTGTATATACTTTTTTAACCACAAAAGCTCGTCTTGCACAGCACACATCTTCTCAACAGCCCACACAACTGAAGTTACAATTTATGCCGAACTAGTTACATGGCAAAGTTGAATTCTTAGGGTTAGGCGTTTGTTCCAATGCCTAACCCTAAATATGGGAACTGGTAATAATGATGCAATAATAAATACTCTTCCATCACTTCCATTGAGTCTCATTACACCACATTCATACTGAGCTCTCTCTCTCTCTCTGTCCCCCTCATCTTTCTCTCATTAGAGTCCTGTCTCTCTGACTTTACTGGCTCATGCAAACAAGGACATCAGCTATGTGCTGTGTTTGTATGTTAATGCAGGTGTGCGTATGTGAGTGTGTGTGTGTTTTAGAGAGAAAGTTTGTCTTATATGTCTGGCAATAATTGCACATGCCATTTACAATTACCTTGTTTATCAGTGAGGTTAACCAACTGTCCTTTATGTTCAATGAACAACAGGCTTTTCATTTAAAACGGCATATCTTACTGAAATATCATCTGATTGCAAGAGAATGGTGCCTGTATGAAGAAAAAAAAGATATGCCTATATTCACTTCTGTATTAAAATCTCTGCCCTCACATTTTTGGAAGATATGTTATTCTATCTGTATCAGTTGCATCCTTATTCTAGCAAAGTTTGAGAAGTATGCAAGGGAGACCATGGCCTTGGCTTTTGATCTCACACTGGCATGCAGCAGATGACCTCTGACCTCTCAAGAGACCTTATTAGTGACCCCGCGAGCTGTTAGCTGTAACGCACTGACGACAAGAGACATTCAGTCTCAACTTCAAAACATAACTCATCAGAACTGGCCTGGATGATTGCGTGACATTAAATGGTTGCATTTTGGGACCATTCAGTACACTTTTCTGAGGCCATGTGGACGGCCTGCCCTTGACTAACCCTTGCAGATGTATAACATGCATAGTTTTGATAGGTCAAAGCAAAGGTAAAAACAAACAATCTCCGAGGTTTGTTTTGCTTTTGTGTGTGTGTTTATGAATGTGGTGAAGAAGAATGATTCATTTCTGACTTCTTTCTTTTCTCTAGGTCTGGTGTGCATGAAGTCAAGCACCTCGGTAGTGGAGCTAGTTATGTTGTTATGCTCTCAGGTGAGTTATCTCTTTTTTATGTTTTCTTTATCATTCTAATGTTGTTTCCAGCTGCATGATACATTGTCTATTGTTAATAGTCACAACGAGCTGCTTAAATATTTGTCTGGATGACAGAAAGCAATACACAAACATGACTCTGCTCATTAACACGTTCATTTCTCAAAGCCAACCTCAAGTGAAGTATGTCAACCAGACTCTGCCTTTGATATTAAAAGTAGTTTACCCCAAAATGAAAATTATCCCATGATTTACTCACCCTCAAGCCATTCTAGGTGTATACGACTTTGTTCTTTCAGATGAGTACAACTGAAGTTATATTAAAATATGTCCTGGCTCTTCATAATGGGAGCTTTATAATGGCAGTGAATGGTGGTCGAGATTTTGAAGCCCAAAAAAGTGCATCCATCCATCATAAAAAGTGCTCCACACAGCTCCGGGGGTTAATAAAGGCCTCCTGAAGCAAATCAATGGATTTTTGTAAGAAAATATCCATATTTAATACTTTATTTAAATATTTGGCTTCCACGAATCAGAAGTACAAAACAAGGATTTGTAAAGAAAATGTTGGAGGATTTCGATAAACAAAGGAAACTTTGCTTCCTTGCGCTTTGATGGATGGATGCACTTTATTGGACTTCTGTTGGACTATTGAATTTCAACATCCCTTCACTGCCATTATAAAGCTTTTTTAATATAACGCCGACATTTTTTAACATAACTCCGGTTGTATTCGTCTGAAAGAAGAAAGTCATTTACACCTAGAAAAGCTTGAGGGTGAGTAAATCATGGGGTAATTTTCATTTTTGGGTAAACTTTCCCTTTAAGTATAATAGTTATAAATTTATTTAAGTTATAAAATAAAAGTTTTATTTTGATTATCATATTTGATACATCAGGCTTTTCGAACTCATATAATATGATATAGTAAAAATATAAAGCTCATACTGTATTTTAAGAGGAGAAAACACCTCCGTTTTATTCAGAGACGAGAAATATAAAATTTGGTGCATGTCAGCCTTTAAATGTTAGTTGAAATTCTAATAGTTTGTAGTGTAAATCAATGAGAGGGTACTTAAATTAAAAAGGCATATAATATCAGTTGTAACTCTATCCCCCGGTTTCACAGACCAGGCTTAAGCTTAGTCCCAGACTAAAATGTAAGTCTGAGCTGTTTCAACTGAAAGAAACTTGCACTGACTGATCTTAAAATATATCAATGCCTTTGTTTTGTCCCAAGAGGGACACCAGTAATGTTTTTTGTAAGGCACATTTATAAAAAAATTACTTAAATGTCCTAATTGAACTATAGCCTAATCCTGGCTTAGTCTAAGCCCTGTCTGTGAAACCAGGCCTATATCTCCCAATAGTATGTCTAAGTTTGATGATATTTAAATGATTTGTTTTATGATCAAAACTCTAGTTTTTATTGAGGGGGGAAAACATATATAATAGTGATTAAAAGCTCAAAAGTCTGAAACATCATATTTGGTACTCATATTTTAACATGAATTTTATAAAAAATGATGAATATTCGAGTAAACTTAAGTTGCTTCAGTCCAGTAAGTCTTCATTTTTAAATAATGTTAACAATATGAACGTTTTTCTTACATTTATAAAAATCATTAAAGATGTTCTTATTAAAAAATATGAATTATCAATCAGAAGTCAGAAGGCATGTGCAATAGTAGATTGTGTATGAAATGTTTTTCAGCAAAGACCGTAATTTAGAGGCCTTAGACATTTGTGTATCAAATATAATACAGTAGGCATTATAGGGTTAAATTATTCCTACCTTTTCCCACATTTTTCCTTCTTGGACTGAAAGTAGTGTAACCCCAGCTCATGTAAACACAGCGCAGTCGTCTTCCCTTTAAATCCCAGTGACATATTACAGCTCGCTGACCTTTGGAGTCCCTTGTTAAGCCTTCCCTTTCAAAGGGGTCAGGGTCCCGATGTTGTAGTCAGAGCGGGAGATATTTAACATACCTTCTGTCAGCCCATCACTCTTGCGCCGGGAGTCCATAAGGAAGCCATTACCTCAGCATCTCTTCCTCAGAATCCAGCCGCTCGGCGGGGTGGGAGCATTTAGTCATTGAATGGCACCTCTGACTCTATGAAGTCCATACCGCTAACCTCCCGACTCGAGAGTCGATCTGTACATTTGCTCTTAGTTTGTCCTGACAAAGGTGGCGTCCTGCAGACGCTGTGGCGCTCAGGATGCGTCCTGCTGTTCTGCTCTTCTCCTTTTGAAGATTTCAGACGTCCTTTCCCTGGTTGCATTGAACGTTTAAATTTTTTTTTTTGCTCGTATCTGTTTTATGCCGTCTGCCCGCTTTGTTGCCACTTGGATTTATTGCCGAGTGAAGCATCACATTGAGACTCAAGCTCCTGGTTTTCTCTTCCTCCGCCCCTGTTAGACATATAATGTTACCAGAGCTCCAAGAGCTCTTGCCATTAGAAGCTCCCAGGGTAAAAACAGCCTGATATATCGATTGTCCAAAGAGGGGATGAAACCAGAGCCTGGGCCCAAAACGGCTTTCAGACGTAGGAAAGTCTCTTTGGAGCCAAAGCCTTCATAACTGGCTCCCTGTAGGATCTGATTTAGAACATGTTGCCCAAATCAGAGGGCTTGAAAAACAAAAGGCTTGATTCTTTAGATGAGCGGGTGAGTGAGAGATGAAGTAAAAGAGAATTAGAAGAAGAGAAAGAATTAGGGTAGGTAAGGTTTTTTAATGTTTTTGGAATAACTCTCTTATGCTCATCCAAGACAGCATTTATTAGATCAAAATACAGTAAAACCCTGTAATATTGTGAAATAATATTACATTTTAAAATAACTGTTTTCTAATTTAATGTATTGTAAAATGTCATTTATTCCTGAGATGGGAAAGCTGAATTTTATGCAGTTGTGCTGCTTAATGTTTATTTATTTGTCTGTTTGTTTATTTATTCATTCAGAATTCTTTGATGAATAGAAAGTTCAAAAGAACAGCATTTATTTGAAATAGAAATTTATTTTGTAACAAGCATTAGTCAAGAAATTTTTTTTTTATTATTATTGATGTTGAATACAGTTGTGCTGCTTAATTTTAGTTTTTTTTATTTTGTTTTTTCTTCAGAATTTTCTTTGATGAATAGAAACAGAATTTATTTGAAATAGAAATGTATTTTGTAACAAAGGTCAAAAAACATTCTTTTAATTATTACTGTTGAATACAGTTGTGGTACTTAATATTTTTTCCCCAGAATTCTTTGATGAATGGAAAGTGCAAAAGAACAGCACTTACTTGAAATAGAAATTTATTTTTGTGACAATTTAAATGTCATTACTGTAACTTTTGATCAATTTAATGCATCCTTGCTGAATAAAATTATTAATTTCTTTAAAAAAAAACAGAATCCAAAACTTTAAATGATATATATATATACACGTGATTATGATTATGATTGCACTGTCTGACAAGTCACCTTCTTGCTTCAGTGAAAAATTGAGTACATACTTTTCAAAGATCCTGGACCACAAAACCAGTCATAAGGGTCAATTTTTCGAAATTGAGATTTATCCATCATCTGAAAGCTGAATAAATAAGCTTTCCATTAATGTATGGTTTGTTAGGATAGGACAATATTTGGCCGAGATACAACTATTTGAAAATCTGGAATCATGTACAGTATGTGTCAAGCTACCCCCCAGCCACCATAAAAAAATATATAAATAAATAAAAAACAAAAATCCATACCACTTGTGTCCTATATTTTATATTTTCTAAAGTCATACAATAGCTTTGTGTGAGGAATTGACTAAAATTTAAATCTTTATTCACTGTGTTCACAATTTACTTTCATTGTATAGAAAACAGCTGTTTGAACATCTAAACTCATGAGGGTGAGAAAATGATTTCAATTTTGGGAACTATCTCTTTAATAAATGCTTGGCGCACATCTGAACACACTGCACATCCCACAACGAATCATGTCGCGGCGGGAGACGTCCTTGCTGCGAGTCCAACAACCTCGAGACGTTCCCCTTCTCATCTCCGCACTAATGCACCCAGACAGCGGGACGTTCACCACTCGCGACCTTACGACCCGCTCTGTTTCGCAAACTGTCGCTTTTATGAATAAATTAGCGATAATCATCTTGCACTTTTTTATTTATGCTTCCTAATCACTGTTATTCATCTACGGCCGCCGACAGCCGGTGTCTCTATCCAGTCAAGTGGCAGCGGGTGCCGCAGAGGTCAGCCGGGTCTGTTTCGTGTAGCAGCTTAAACATACATAAAGGATCTAGCGTGGAGCCGGAGAGATTTACCGATGGACGGCCTCCAGATGTCGGGAGCAGCGCTGAGCAGATAAAAGCAAAGCGCTCCCTCTGCTGTTATTCATCTACGGCCGCCGACAGCCGGTGTCTCTATCCAGTCAAGTGGCAGCGGGTGCCGCAGAGGTCAGCCGGGTCTGTTTCGTGTAGCAGCTTAAACATACATAAAGGATCTAGCGTGGAGCCGGAGAGATTTACCGATGGACGGCCTCCAGATGTCGGGAGCAGCGCTGAGCAGATAAAAGCAAAGCGCTCCCTCTGTCTCTTGACAGGTTGGATTGAGATGCTGCAAATTCTCAAGAGCCATTAAAGTTTGTGGGTTACAAGCTGGGGGAGGAAAAAAACTGACTGGCTGAGGTGCACAGCTCAAGTGCAAGTGCTACAATTACAATTTTTTTCCTCCCACGGTTTTTGTGGTGCACATTTTTGGCTAATGACTGCGTTCTCAGCTGAGTACGTTTTGGCAGGCAGTTCTGACAGGAGTGCTTGACAGCTGTGACTGGAATTTGGAGGCAGAGGTTAAAAGATGATTGGAGTTTGAGTGAAATTAAGTTCTTGGCTTTGAAAAAGTATATACTCAAGTTTTCAGTGAAGCAAGGAGGTGACTTGTCAGACAGTGCAGTCGTAATCACGAGAGATAAGAGAACCAATTGGCTTGTGTACAAAAAGGGGATTTGTTCATATTGTTATCCTGTTACATGAATAAAGAAAGTACATAAACAATGCAAGTAGAAATATGTGAAAAGATCATAAAGTCGGGATCAAATATAAAGGTCAAAGGTGAAAAACTCATTTAGTGTGTAGTAAAAAAGATATGATGAAATATAAAGGCCATATATAACTACAAACACCTATTTAAACTGTAAAAAAATTAAATATCTAAAAAATCTGAAAATTATTTACTTTGTAATTAATTAGACTTTCTTTCTTTCTTTCTTTCTTTCTTTCTTGAATAACAATTAATTAATTAATAACTATTATTATAGTAGTATTTTCTATTTAAGTAACATTATATATTTATTTTTTGCTTTTATGTAATATGTGTAATTATTATTGATTTTATTTTTATTTATAATTAATTGAATTAATTATTAGATGTAATAATTAATAATATATTTATTTTATAATATATTTTATAATATATTTATTTATATAAATTAATAATTAATATATGTATTTTATTTAGTATATTTTCTTTCTTTCTTTCATGAATAACTATTAATAATTAGTAACTTAATTATTATTATAGTAGTACTTTCTAATTAAGTATCATTTTATGTATTTATTTTTTGTTTATTTCTATGTAATATGTATAATTATTATTATTTATTATTACATATATTTGTATTTAATTAATTGTTTATTAATTTATTTGATATGTATATTGTTTATTTGTTTATTATTATTTTTATTTTCTATTTAGTTGACATTTTAATTATTTATTGACTATATTAATTATTTACTATTACTTTCATTCATTCATTCATTCATTCATGTTCCATATATAATTATTTTGGGGTTGTTGTTATTATTATTGTTGTTGGTTTGTTCTATTTTATATATTTATTTATTTACCTTTTTGTTTTGTTTTCCAACTATTTTTCTCTTTTCCATGGGCCCCCTTACGGCCCCTTGGGGCTCCCCGGACCGCAGTTTGAAAACCCCTGTGCTAAAATACAAGATAAACTCTCTGCATCAGCTCAGTGAGTCAGCTCTCCCCGGCATAAGTCCCTCGCTGGAGATGGCAGGCCGGAAGTGATCTTCTCTTTTACATAAGGGATCGCATTACCTCCTTCTGGAGGTACATGTCATCGCTAATGCACATCACATGGACGGCATACTCATCTGAGCCCCTAAAATCCCCTCACAATCACACTCACCTCCCACTGGGGACCCTCAATCTCCAGCATGAAGAGAAAGAGAAAAAGAAGTGTGTTACAGTGCTAGTGCAAAGGCTACTTGAGAAGAGACAGAAGACTGGGACTTGGCTCTGGGTCTTGGCTGATGTCATTTTCTTTTGGCAGGCCAGTGCGCCCCACATCTGCATCTATTTCCTTATTTATTTTTGTCACGTGGGTGCTGCTCTACTTGAGCGGATCCCAGGCGACGAGCCGCCTGACTGCTGAGTAGATAATGAATGGTGGAGGAGAAATAGAGAGAGGGAGGCATATTGGGTCAGTTATTACATTTGGAGACCAGATGCGCCTCAGTGTTGTCTCTTTCTGGCTCAGTGAGGGGTAGTGAGGATGCTCACCAGTGTGTGTGATTTTTGTTTTTTTTTCCCCCCCCTCAAACTTTGATATTTTTTAATAGTCTATTCAGTTTATCAGTTGTGCTCTGTAGTTTTACAGTGGCTCCAAAAGTATTTTTAATTTCAGTCATTTAAAATGCTGTTATCAATTACTGACTATCATGTTGTTTCAAACCTCTGTTTCTTAATTTTTTTTCTGTGAATGAAATGTGATGGGGTCCAATGGACAAAAACAGTTCTTCAAAATATCTAAATATCTTCTTTTGTGTTCCACAGAAGAAAATAATGACTATTTTATCATTTCTAGGAAAACTATCCCTTAAAGCCACATTGTAAAATACATGAATTTCTGTGCATTATGTAACCAAATATCAAAACAAGTGGAATTTATAATGTTTCATGAACAATATTTCTTTTGCAAAAAGAAGTTTGTCAGGCTTCAAATTATAATCTTGACTCTTTGAAAGTTGAGGGTCAGTAGGATTTGATATTGTTGTTCTTTGTTTTTGTAAATTGATCCAAAGTGACATTAAACAATTTTTACAATTTTCTATGTAAAAAATGAAATAAAGTAAAATAAATCTATCTATCTAAAAATCGAATAAATGCCGTCTTGCTGAGCATAAGGGGTTTCTTTCAAAAACATTTAAAAAACTGGCTTAGCTTTAGACTTAGCTTTATTTATACAGAACCTTTAAAAATAGTGTTTACAAAGGTCTTTACAGAAAACATGAATGTCGTAATATGAAACTGGGGAATAAAACAATTAAAAGAATGCTCCAATCACACAGACCGTCTGTATAAAATGCTTAAAACACAATGGGCCCTATCATACACCAGGCGCGACGCAAGTGTTTTTGCTAGGTTCAGCCCGACGCAGTTATCATTTTCACGTCCTGCGGCACGTTGTTTAAATAGCAAATGCATTTGCGCCCATTTGTGCGCTCATGGGCGTGCTGATCTGAAAACGAGGTGTGTAGCATCTGAAATAGACTGCGCAATTGACCAACAAAAACCTGGTCTAAAGTCAATGGCGCAGTATTTTTTTGTTATTTAAATAGCGCGTTAGTAATATGCGCCTATAGGTGGGTCCACAAGGCATGCACACTCTGCTTATTACACACACAGGGATGCGCAGCAGCACACAAAAATGCCAAATATTAAAAATTAAAGGGTTACAATGTAAAAGATTATTATTGTGTAGGCTACATAAAAATAAAAATGCCTACATATCATAATGGATAGTCACTGCATGTATCAGAATTAGGCTACCTATTTGCTCGCGCACGAGGAGCTCCGTTTCCTCTCTGGAGATGCGTTCTGTCTTTGCTCTTGCAAATTCCGCCGTGTAAATGGCGAGCGCGATCGCAACTGGCTTTTAAAGGGAATGGGAGATGAGACTCTGATTGGTTTATTGCACGTTATGCCCAAAACACACCCATTACTCATTAAGAGAATAGGGACAACCCTTTTAGACCATTTAGACCTTTTAGACCGCCGACCATTTTTCCCATCGTTAAACTAGCAAAAGTGGATTCGGACATGCCCTAAGTGCACCTGCGCCATGCGCTTTAGACCGTGCGCTTAGATCGTTAAAATAGGGCCCAGTTATTCTGAGGGCATCGTTCACATCCATCCCCAGCGGCTCTTCTCTCACCCTGACTCCCTCACCATGGGACAGGGGAATATTTTTGAGGCCCACTTCTTGCAAATGCCCTCTTTCCTTTTGAACTTCAACCCATCTTATGCTCTTCCCCCTTAACTCGTACCTTAGAGAGCAAACAGGAGAACATAGGAGAATTTCCCATAGTGAGAAGCACGACTGCTTTTTAATCATCTCCAGACCCGCGCTGTGTGTGAGAGACAGCGGAGGAAGGAGAGCCCGGGAAACGGGGAGAGGGAGGGTGTGAGACGTTCCCTAAGGCCTCAAAAGCGCTGGAGGCGAGTCGAGAGGGCCGGTCTCTAGACGGAGGTCTTCGGTGATCTGTCACTGCTCACAGGGAGGAAATGGCTGTGTTTAAGGGGCAAGAGGATACGGTTTCATTCAGCGATTACATCTCTCTTGTGTTTACGGATCTTTGCGCAGAGGAAGAAAAGATGCTTGCGCACGCACAGGGCCGAGTTCCAGGCTTTTTATGGCTTTGGCTCTCGATCGCGTAGACTGGATGTGACCTCAAAGCCATCTTTGCTTTCTCAAGTACATAGCAATCCAATTTGCTGCGATCACTATCGCTAGATGTTTCATTTAGGCTTAACATGAGACTTTAGGAGAGAGATTTTTTGGTGTGCAAATGTTTTTGCCACTGGTTTTATTTTTATTTATTGTTTTACAGATGTTATTAAATCCATTTTTACCAGGACTTATTTGGATCTAACCATAAATCAACTCTCTTGTTGTCATGCATATTTGTGTGTCTTAAATTCACAAAATTAAGTCATATTTTACACTTTATACATAAAATACAGTGTGATTGCAAATGGACTTAGTTTGTTCAAAAGTGGACAATAAAAGTGGGAGAATTGACACTGCAACTAAATATTATTATAGTTAACTGAAACTGAATGTAAAATAAAAAATAAATAAATAAATATTACCTGAAATAAAATATTTATAAATCATTAAAATGTCCCATTTTAATTTAGTTCAACTTGTACTAAAATAATGAAAACTAAAATTGAATTTTAAAAATGAAAGTAAATTACTAAACTTTAAGTAAATTTTTTATAAAATATAAAAATAAAAACTAAATCATAATATTAATAAACATTAAAATAGCACTGCTGCATAATATTTAGAAGTTAAAATAAATATATATTTAAAATAAATTTCTAACAAATAAAAATTAATTTAACAATAAACATTAATTACATTTTAGATAACATTTTACATTTACATTTTAGAAATTGAATGGTTAATATTTTTATCATGGATTATACCATTTTAAGATCAAAAGTCTGGGTACTGTAAAACGTTTCCAAGTTGTTTTAAATGTGACTTTGTATGTGACAAAAAAGTTTAAAAATTAGTTAAATCAACAACAACAACAACAACAACACTTAGATATTCTTTTGGATATACTTTTTCTCCTGTTGCACAAGCCATCTTTTTTCATAGTGATGAAAAATGAACACAGTACACATAACAAATGTTTGTTTCTTTCAGGAGTGGCAGAACTCTATCCAGAAGAATGCTGGCCTGGCTTTTATTGAGCTTATCAACGAGGGAAGGTAAAGTCTCACGTCTGCTCCTCAAACACCATTACTAGCTCACACATCACTGTAGCTAATGTCACTCTAAACTGGTTATCTGGCGCTGGTTTGTTCGGCTGGGGTTACCATGGCATCTCTGAGGCAGACTAGAGAACAGGGAGGGAACCAGATTAGCCTCTAAGCCTCTCGTCCCGCTAGTTTGGCTATAGTATGTGTGTGTTTTTTGTGTGGAAGTGGTTGACCAGAGTGGAAAATATGCTGAGATAAGCGTGTTGAGAGAGAGTGGCTGTATAAACCCTGCTGATGTACATCCTGTCCAGAATGTATGCATCCTTTTACTCTTTATACATATCCAGCATGCTGTTTTATTTTTTTGTCTCAGAAAAGATTGTGTTTGTGTGCGTGTGTGTCCGTGTGTTTGTCAGATTTAGGCTTTGAATCGTTGTTGTTGAGCTGATCCAGGGCAGCTCAGCCTGCACACCCATCTGCTGACCCATCTGTGCATGCGCACAGACACACCCACACACTCACATTTGGACAATAAGCCTGAGTCAGCTGAGATAGTCGCTGTCCAGGGTGCTGGTGCATCAGTCATTCACCGCTCTACCTGTCTGTCTATCTGTCTCTCTGTCTGTCTGTATCAGTGACCCTCATTCCAAATCCTGCTTCAGTGGTCGACTGGAAGCATTTTCCCATTCATTTTTTTCATGGGGATTAAATTAAGTGATATAAATATGTATTTTGCAATGTTTTGTGGGAGTGGATGGCTGCTTCTAGCAACAGTGCCTTTATTTATTAATGAAACTAAAGAGAATCTCACCAGGAATTCCAAAATTAAAGTATATAGCATTCAAATGTTTGGAGGCTTTTTTTTTAAATTAATACATTTATTCAGCAGGTTTGATCAAAACTGTGAAGGGTTTACATTGTTAAAAAAAATAAAAAAAGAAAGTTACTTGAGTGCCAGGCTTTTTTTTTTTATTAATACATATATTCAGCATGTTTGATCAAAACTGAAAGGTTTACATTGTTAAGAATTGTTATTTTTTTAAAGTTACTTGAGTGCCAAATCAGCATATTACAATGATTTCTGAAGGATAATGTGATACTGAAAACTGGAGTAATGGCTGAAAAAAATTGGCTTTGCATCACAGGAATAAATTGCATTTGAAAAAATATTTAAAGGGGTCATATGATGTTGCTAAAAATAACATTATTTTGTGTATTTGGTGTAATGAAATGTATTTATGTGGTTTAAGGTTCAAAAAACACATTATTTTCCACATACTGTTTCTCCTCTATGCCCCGCCTTTCTGAAACGCGTCGATTTTTACAAAGCTCATCGGTCTGAAAAGCGAGGTGTGCTCTGATTGGAAAGCAGTTATTTTAAACGGTGACAATATTTCACAAAAGTACTGTTTTTTATCAAATAAATTCAGCATTGGTGAGCATAAGAGACTTTTTTTCTATAGACTTTTGAATGGTAGTGTGTAATAATTAGTGTATTTTTTATTCATTGATGAATGCATATGCATAAAAATATAATACTTATAATAAATTAGGATTTTGATAAATAAACATTGATTAAAATATAAATATACTAAATGTTTTATACATATTTATTTAGTTATTTATTTTAAAAAATAAAGCACTTAGAACTGATGGTACAGTAGGTCTTTCTTTGAAGGTTTGTGTGTAATCATTGGGAAAAAAAAATGATTGGACAGAATGAAGGTGATTTTTCTTCCAGAAGCCAGCAGTTGCACTCCATATATTCACTGGCTAGTTTATTTGAACAATTTAATGAGACTAATGTTGTGTTTGGCCTCTTGGAACGTCTGCTTATGTTCTAATAACAAACTAAATTACAAGTATTAAAGTACTGTGTATTAACGTACTGTGTACTTTGCTTGATGGAGTTATTTCTGAAGTAAATGCTGGTACTTTCAGCCTTGGAGTGTTTATATAACAGCCTATTCCAGTTTATTTAGATACATTCCGTTTTTAGTAGGGCATCTGTGATTTATGAGCCACACCATGTCACCATTTGGGACATATGTGGCCCCTGTGCCACTGATTTGGAGCCCCTGTTCTGTTTCATTAGCACCCTCATATAAGTCACCAAGCCCACAACAGTTTCTGCCTTTTGGAACACTAGAAATTCTCATTAAATATTTTGCTGTGGATTTTTAACACACTCTTCTAAACTGCTGTGTTTCAACTTCCCTGCAAGTGCTGAAGAAGTAAAGTCGTGCCCTAGATTTAAATTTGAACTGTTATCATGCTGAGATTGAAGTTGTTTACTATTTTTTCTTCCTCCTCTGAGCTCCAAATGTTATTTATTGCTTGTCAACACTTAAAGAAGCATGCACATTTGAATGCTGCACCAGATTGAAGCCTCTCTGTGGGACGGGAAGAGAATAGCGTTCTACTTGGTTCAGATCATGTTTTAGCTTATAGTCGTGACAATATATAATAATATATAAAAAAATATAGTATTCACAATATAACGCAGCCTCTTGTATCTTATAACTGTAATATATTCAGTTTAAAGAATAAAGATTAATGCTACACTAACTTCTTAGAATATCAGTATCAACCTCTCTTTATTATTCTGACAGAGATTCAGTGGGCTCTGTAAATGTAAATCAAGCTTTAGCAGCACTTGCTGTGGAATCTGTCATCATGTATCTATGATATGAAACTCTTGAGGGCACGTGCATGGCATCAGTATGCGGTGAACACACACTCTTTCACACAAACGCATGAGTACATGTAGTGATGGAGTGATGAGTTTCTTATCTGGAACGCGCAGCCTGTTTTATATACTGCTCTTGAGGATCCCTGACCTGCTAGATAAAACGCAGCAGGCGCTAGATAGGCGATGTCACCAGCTAACCGGAGACGTCATCTTGCCCCTCAGTCCCGTCTTGGAGAAGGATGGGTTCACAGTTCTCGTTCCTCCTCTTCTTTATTGCCTCCGTCTACAGATTGAAGATTCTCTAAGCAGATATTTTTACAATTAAGCTGGTGTCACTTTCAACCCTCATATCCTCCCTTGAAATGATAAATAACGTTTGATATTTGTCAGCGCGGCACATGGTAAGGCGAGATGACACCGGGAGATTGAGTTATCGGCCGTTTGAAGAATATGTCGAGGTATAATATCTGACAGAATTCAAATATAAGGAAGGAAATTCAATTACTTCCCCTCGCCCCTCCTCTCTCTTCCCCTGCACCCCACCAAGCCTGTGTTAGCAAATTAGATTTTGAATATTAGCAAGAGATCCCCCCCGGGGTCCACGTGGGAAGACAATCTTATTGTAGGGGGGAAGATAAAGTCGGCGGGCTGCTTCACGTCACCCTTAGTCTGAGAGGCCTTTTAGTTCAGTGCTGCTTATAGTGCCTGTTTTTAGCTTCAGTCTGTGTATAAAGTGAACTTTAAAGTCACCTTTTTTATATAGGGCTTTATATAATACAGATGCAGCTGCATGGTAATAAACAGAAAAATAACAGAATCAATGATGCAGACTTCTTTAAATATGAGACAAATTCTAATTCTGCTGTAACACAGCTCTAAAAAGACAGTTCAGATCAGTAAATATGTAAAGTTCAATTATAAAACAAGTTCAGTTCAGCTATAAGCAACTCTTCAGAAGGCAACATTGTTTTTTCAGCTCAAGCTAGTTCAGTGTTGATTTAATTCAGTTCAGTATTCTATTCAGCTATAAAGCATCTCTACAAAAGACAATAATATCATCATCCAGCTCAATTCAGTTCTCATCTAGTAGTGTCTATGCCATCTAATATTGATATTACTAAGTTTTAAGTGTCTTTAAAACCCCTTTACTTTAAAAGGGAAAGTACTACAATATACAGTATGTTGTTTGTTGACATTGTAATGAATACATTCTATGTTTTTAAAGAAAGAGTTCATCCAAAAATAAAAACACCAACTTGTCGTTCCAAATAATGTTTGACTTTGTTTCTTCTACAGAACACAAAAGATGTTTCGTGGAATGTTTCAGCTGTTTTTGTCCATATAATGAAAGTCAGTGGGGTCCAGAACCACACAGGACCTTATTGACTTGCAATGTATGAAGAAAAAAAAAAAAAAACTCTGAAACATTCTATAAAATATCTTCTTTTGTCTTCCACAGATATGAGAATGGTATTTAGTTTTGGAACAACATGAGAATTAGTAAATGAGAAAGTAAAATGCGATATATGTTGTATGTTGACATTGTAAAGTAATGGAAGATATTCTTTGCTCTTAAAGGAACAGTTCATCCAAAAATGAAAACACTATCTTGTTGTTCCAAACCTGTATGACTTTCCTTTTACTGAAGAACACAAAATAAGTTGTTTTGAGGAATGATTCAGCTGTTTTTGTCCATATAATGAAAGTCATTTGGGTCCAAAACAACACAGGACCTTATTGGACAAAAAAAAAAAAAAGACATTCTGTAAAATATCTTCTTGTGTGTCCCACAGTAGCGAGAACATCATTTAGGTTTAGAACAATGTGAGAATGAGTAAATGGGAAAGTACATGGTAAATATACGATATATGTTATATGCTGACATGGTAAAGTAATGGAAGACTTTCATTGTTCTTAAAGGAACAGTTTATCCAAAAATGAAAACACCCTCACGTCGTTCCAAATCTGTATGACTTTCTTTCTTCTGCAGAACACAAAAAAATATGTTTTGTGGAATGTTTTAGCTATTTTTGCCATATAATGAAAGTCAGTAGGGTCCAAAACAACACAGACCTCACTAACTGGACCAAAAAAAAACTTCTGTTCCACAGAACAAAGAACATACTATGTTTGGAACAATATCAGGATTAGTAAATGGTATTATATTTGTTGTATTTTGACATGGTAAAGTAACAGAAGACATTCTTGGTTCTTAAAGGAACAGTTTATCCAAAAATGAAAACACCCTCACGTCGTTCCAAACCTGTATGACCTGCTTTCTTCTGCAGAACACAACAGATGATGTTTTGAAGAATGTTTTAACTGTTTTTGTTCATATAATGGAACTATGATGTGAATGAAAGTCAAAACAACATTGTATGGACAAACCCTTTTAAAAATATCTTCTTCTGTGTTCCGCAGCAGAAAGAACGTTATTCATGTTTGAAATGACATGAGGAATACATAAATGATGACACTTTTTCTTTTTGGATGAACTGTCCCTCAGTTCTACTTCATTCTTCATTGATGCTTCATTCAGCATCATTCTTGTTTTCAGTGTACTGATTCATTGTGATGATTACTGTAGATGTTAATCTTTTACATCTTTTCTCTCTCTCTTTCTTTCATCCATATTTCGGTCAGTCTAACTGCGCGCAGTACGCGGCAGACAGGAAAGAAGAGGAGACGATGTGTGATCACCTCATCAGTGCCGCCAAACACCGCGATCATGTGACAGCCAATCAGCTGAAACAGAAGATCCTCAACATCCAATAAACTTTTAAAAACACACTTTTTCATATTTTTGAAAGAAGTATCTGATATTCATCAAGGCTGCATACAAATACAGTACAAATAGTAATATTGTAGAACATTATTAGAATTTAAGATAACTGTTTTCTATTCTAATATATATTTAAAATGTAATAAAAAAAGGAAGAAAGAAACAAATCTGTACCTTTAACAAAAGAAAAAAACAACCCCCGGTGGCATAAAAGTTGCTGTAGTTGAAGAAACACCTGTGTATGTCAGTGTGTGTGTGTATGTGTGCATGTGTTTGTAATAGTGTGTATCTTCTCAATGGTCTGTCTACGGTCTTTTTAGAGGCGAGTATTACACTATTACCTTTGTGACACAAACACACACAGCCAGACCTCTGATGTGACTCCTATTTAATGTAATTTTCTTTCTCTCCACCAGGGTCAGTCTACAGGTCAGCAAACTCAATTACCACACCAGGCCACTAAATCCTCAGAGACAGATCACTGGTGGTCAGGCTGTGTGTGTGTGTGTGTGTGTGTGTGTGTCTGGCTCTCACTCTCAGTCTCACAGTGGAGCACCTGGCAGTTGTTACAGTGGTCTCAAGGGTCCTGTTAAAAAAATACTGACTAGAGTTCCGTTTCCCACCAAACACACACAAACAGACCCAATATAATCCAAGATCTAAGACATCATTCTGTACAGTGTGACAGTTTTATCTCAACATCATGATTGAGAAGAAAGTTAAGAAACAACAACCAGCACAATCAGTTTTGAATGTAGTGGAGTAATAATTTCAATGCTAAAATACTTTCTCCTAACCCACCTTAATATGCTGAGACAACTATAAGTAAGCTGTCTGTGTTTCAACCAATGAGGTGTGTTTGGGGTGGGAGTATCTGTTTGTTTGACCAATGGCAGGCAGGAGAATCAAACCTGTTTGAAACAGTCATTATTTTAGCAGTTCCACTTGATGACAGTAGAGGGGCAGAAATAACGCATTAAAACAGTGCTTAATTTCATTTTTATGAATTTTTATTTAACTTCTTAATTTTTTGACTTGCTGCCAAGTTGCAATATCTAACAAGACAAATACCTTACAAGACAAATTATATTGTAAAGCAACTTTGCATTTCCATTATTAATATTAAAGAAATATAAAAATATTAAGAAAGACATATATATTATATATACAGTATATTATATATTAGTGTAGCTGTAATAATATTAGCAAAAATTCCATAATTGAAATAGCTATGGTATTGCCTGCAGCAAAATCACCTTCAGTTCCATTGGTAGAACACATGATGACTGAATTGAGATTCTCTCTGCCACCACTGGCCGACAGCCAAGAGACCCATACACAAATACACACTCCAAGCACAATTACTGATTTGCCTTCCAAATTGGCTGGATTTGCAGAAACAGTGGCTGTGGGTTTCTTATTAAATTTGAGAAATCCACTGCAGATGGTTGAATGTACATGATGGCATCATGTTTACCCGCTCCAATAGGAAACATCAGCATGAACTGCTGCAGTGGAAATAGAGATGATAGTTCAGCTGCTTTCACTGATTGTACTTCTGTTATCAGTTTTGACGAATCCAAATATGCTGGATGTCCCAATTCTCATCTGTCAGACGTTGTTTTTTGACATGTCAGACACAGTCTTACATTCGCGGTGCTGTAACTGCACTGTACCACATTCACAGCTAAATATGTATGTGGGCTGTCTTATTTTTATTTTTAAATCTGTGTTTAGAGCACATTTCCCATGTGCTTACAGTAGAAAGCAAGAAATAACACACTGCAGGTTTTCATGTAATGTACATTTATTTATTGACATTTACTAACGCTTTTAATTTATTAAAATGTATTACTATGGATGATTGGGAGTGTCATATAAAAAAAATGTAATTTTCATGTAATTTACATTTATTTATTGACATTTACTAACGCTTTTAATTTCTTAAAATGTATTTACTGTTAATATGGCACACAATTCTCTGTGAAATGTCAGTAACATAAAAGTCTGACCATTTTCAGAAACATGTTATGCAATTGTGGCTTCCAGTTTCTCAAATGCTGTCTTAAATTTATCACATCAAAATCCTTCATACCATAATAATAAAGTGCATCTAACACCGACTACACAAAATAATAAAAAGCTTGATACGGTGGTTTTGCTGAAAGTCTCTGCCACTATTGAGACTTATTCAAATATTTATGAAAACCACCTGGAAGGCATAACATTTGCATTGAGACAAAAGGTTATTGAGCTGGGGCACATTGTAAATGGTACCACAAAACTTCCAACAAATTCAAATTTAATGGTAACCTGCTGGAGAAGAAAAATGATGCAATATGTTCATGAGCTCAAGGCGGTGTTACAGCTGAGCAGCTTAGTCTTATTCAATGCTACATTAACTTTCCCATTTATGCGGCTTCTGTAAAATAGAAAGCCTACGGCGTTCTGAAGCATGCGTGTGTGTGTACTTTGCATATGTGTGTGTTAGTGTGTTGGCGTTAAAATGTATTTGTATAAGTGTGTTTGTGTGTGTCTTTGAGCATGAATGCAACCAGATTGGTTTTCTGCTTTTACTTTGTGCTACAGCCTAGGGACACGTGAAAAATGATCGAATTCTGGTTTGAAAAATGCGCTGTATCATGTTTTCACATTTAGGCTTCTGAAAACACAAATGTTCCCATGATGCTTTGGAGCACCGCTTTGATTTTCGCCATTAGTTTTTTTTTTTTTTTTTTTCAGAACAACTGCAGATGTTTTTTTTTTCTGAAAGCACAAACGCTCCCATGATGCATTGGAGCACCGCTTTGATTTTCGCCATTAGTTTTTTTTTTTTTTTTTGCAGAACAACTGCAGATGTTTTTATTTTGACAAACACTTCCAGAAAAGCAGTTGTGTACAGTATTAGATGTATAAATAAATGTTCTCTGTTGTGTAAAATCGAATAATCTGTAAAGGATGAAGCACCGAAAGATGCAACACTGCATAGCAATTCCTGAATGGCTGCATGAGGGCTGCATCCAGCCTACGAATCTTCAGTTCGATCATACTTTATGCTTGCCTGATGATGAATGTCCCCTGTATTGAGTCGGCATCAGAAAATCAATACTTCTCAAATTGAAACAGTATAGGGTTGTATTGATCTGGGCTGCTAAATCAGAAAGAGAAGGCTTTGATAGGACGTTGCCAGACAGCTCTGAGCCCAGTAATGACACACTATCAATTTTGGCTTTACACTGATAAATCAAGTCGAAAATTGGATGTCAGATTTTTTTCTTCTGGCTTTCCACTGAGGGAGTTATTTTCCTTTCCCTCTCCTGTTGACCTCTGGCCTCTGCCAGTGAATTATAAAGTTCAGGCGTGTCAAAAGTGAGAAGATGTCAGCGTTGGGACTAATGATGGAAAAGAAATCTATGAAATTGAAAAATCATGGAGCCATTTATTTGCATGTCATTGGCCTGTTATCTGGCTCTCTGAATCTTATGTCATATTTTGAGGCAATGTAAGGCGGACTGAATAAAGCAGACACTCACCGATTTTCAATCAGCATTTTTGCCATGCAATGGCGCGTAGCTGACTATGCTTGGTGTCCAATAATACTCCTTCTTAGTGTCCATTACCTGGAGTTTAATGTAGCTCTAAACAGTCGCTAATTGCTCCAGAATGGCTGCCTGTAACAAAAATGTAAAGTCTGTGGTCACAGTGGACAGCGTCCCGTTGTTGCGTTCATGCCCTTTGTCAACGTCAGCAGCACTATGGCTGACAGCTGATCGAGGACCAGCATACCTGGACCACATCAGACCTTTACTTAACCTGACTCGGGTATCGATTGTCAACGCTTTCTCTTGTATAATTAAATTTTTTTAGTTGTTGACTGAAAGGATGGCGATGAAGAAAAAAGACAGTGCCAAGAGATGGAGAGTAGTGGCATGTATTGATTTGTTGGAAGGTGGAGAATGAAGGAGGCACCATTTCCCTTGAATAACGGTGTGCGTGGTCTCTTGTTTGATGGATGACAGGAGTCCGGTACTGGATAATAACTTGGTGATAGAATGGAGCCTTCCAGTTACACATGGCTTGGTTAAGCAGTCTCATTGGGAATGGTTGAAAGGTTATCAATTCTAATAGCAGCAATTGAAGGGGAATATATACAGCCCTTATGGGGTTTTGGCCCCCCAAAATTGGGATTTTGGTCTGAAGTTTAAATAAAAAAAACCTATGTCTCTGGGGGACAGAGTAAATAATGACTGGATTTTCATTTTTTGTCAACCTATTTCTTTAAGCTAATTAGGGAAAGCAGGAGAGAACAGTGAATGTGATTCAAATGATCTTTGACATTTGAAGACTGATGGAGGAACTGTTGAAACAACTCTTAAACACACCCTTACACTCTTAAAAATAAAGGTGTTGCACAATGCCATAGAAGAACCTTTTTTGTCTAAATGGTTCCATAAAGAACCTTTAACATCTGAAGAACCTTTCTGTTTCACAAAATGGTTCTTTGTGGTGAAAGGAGGTTCTTCAGATTATAAAAAGTTAAGAAAGATATGGTTCTTTAAAGAACCTTTGACTGAATGGTTCTTTGTAGAACCAAAAATGGTTCTTCTATGGCATCGCTGTGAAGAACCTTTCAAGCACCTTTATTTTTAAGAGTATACCTGAATGATCTTCCATTGCTATGTTTCACATCGTGTCCAGTCTTGAACTAATCAAGTCCACTACACTAGTTTCCACTGAAGCTCCCTTTGTTACAAAAAGTTTGCTAAGCTGAACACCTGTGGTCATCATTTGCAAGCTAGAAACTTTCACAACGACTCATTCACTCACAAACCCCTCCGATTGTTTTTTGACCTACACAAAGTCACTTCCCCTTGGGCATGCTTAACCTCAAAGCCTGTGCTAATTATCTCTGGGAAGAGAGGACTGTTGGAACGATCATCAATTTCAACAGAAAAGAACGTGACTGCTAGTGTTTTCCCCACTCGGTTGGCTTGGTCTTTGGTGAGAGATGGACGGTTTGCCGAAACGGGCGAGAAAGGACGTCTGACCTGTACTAGAACTCTGTCTCTCACACAGGCAGCCACGTCTGTCTTCATCCAACGCAGTGACCGCGGGGTGCAGGCCTTGCCAGTCTTAAGCCAAGGTGCTTTATATGTGTCTGCTCGAGTATTTTAGTTTGATTCAGCTACATAAAGAAGTTTGTATGGAAGCTTGTTTGTGCCACAGAATAATAAAAAAAAAAAGTTTTTTCTTGCAATTGCGAGTTTATATCTTTTTTTCTCAAGCTATAAACTTGTAATTGTGAGTTTGCATATCACAATTCAGATTTTTTGTTCTGTAGAATTGAAGTTATAAACTTGTGATGGCGAATTTAAATCTAGGAATTGACTTTTTCTCAGAATTCTCGATTTATATCTCAAAATTTTGGCTTTTTTTCTCAGAATTTACATATGACAATCCAATTTTGTTTTTTTTTGTTTTTTTTTGGGGTAGTT